TTCACCCCTCTGTTTTGGGATGAAAGCAGGTCCTGGACACAGCAAAGGCAACCGGGGAGGAACGGTGAAAGGGTTGGACAGTCCCAAACCCTCTGGGCCTGATGTTTCGATGGCCAGCGTATCCACAAGCCTGCTTTGAGCCCAGGTGCCATCAGGAGCTGCTTGCATTTCAGCCTCTGGAAACTCAGGGGCTGCAAGGCGCCGAGTGCAGGGTTTTGTGCAGGGCCGTTGGGGATTTGCCAGCCACGGGGGTGTAGCGAGGAGCCCTCGGGGGACGGCTAGTGGTTGCAGCAAGGGGACTGGGAGTCAAGGAGATGCAGCTTCTCTTCTCAGCTCCGTTGCTGGGTTTCCCTGCACCCAGGACCTGCTTCTCCTCCTCACCCAGCCATCACCAGCACCTGTACTTGTAAGTGCATCTGCTAACGAGAGCACTGGCTGCAGCCAAGGCCCGTGGGCCGAACTGGGAGCGCCGTCTGCAGCTTCCGGTTCTGGAGACAAACACCCGGGAAGCACCCGTCCCCCAAGCGCTTCTCTAGCCCAGCTGCAAGTCCCAGAGGGGTTGGACAGGCGGAGGGCCCGGCTGGGTGACACGTGGCAGGGGGGTATGCAGGAAGGTTGTAGCTGGGGGCTTGGGAAATGCTGGCAGGTGGAGAAGGGGGAAGAGGGAAGGGCTGGTGATGGGGAGAACTGCTCTTCTCCCAGGCGGGAGCAGGGGGGCAGAACCGGGGCCTGGATGCCTGCCTTTGCATTCGCTTTGAAGGGTTTGATGTTCAAAGTGATGTCCCCATATCACTGCAAAACAGAGGGGTGAATATGCATCTCCACACTGCCCCGCCGGGGCCAGCCCTGCCCCAATCCCCCACGTCGCCATACACACGCCAGCAGCCACGCACACGCTTTTCTGGGCCTCCGTTTCCCCACGTGTGCGAGGCAGGTGGTTTACTCCCCCTGCAGCGCTTTGCCCGGCGGCTGCTGGCAGGCGTGAGCTCGGAGCAAAACCGTTGTGTGCAGCTGTGCTCTGAGTTTAATGCTAGTGAGAGGGGTTGGAGCAGCTGCACCCCTCTGTGTGTCTGTAGGGAAGGCGCCGCGCATCCGCCTGGCTCTGCTCCGTCCTGCAAGGGGTCTCAGGCACCGCTCGGGAGCACAGCCTCCTCTGCCGTGGCAATGCTCTGTGTGCAGTAGACGCCCACCCTAGAAGGAGCAAATCGGGACCCACTGAGTCATTTCTCACCCGCCGCTGCATGGTCATCAGCTCCGGCTCACTGCCGGGCATGGCCACGAGCCATCTTACACCAGCCACGTCCCACCCCACCTACTAGCTGCCTAAGACGGGTCTGGCACCAGAACGTGGGCCAATTCCACCCTGCCCGAGTCGCTGAAAATCCCCGAAGGCATCGATTTGTCTGACACGCTGCCATCTCAGCCTTCAGACCCGGTCACACGCAGGCAGCGAGGGGTAGGGGGGCCATGCCTCGTGTGCTGGCGGACGCCCAGGGATTTGCAGGGGGGGATCGGACCGTGCTTCGGGCATCTAGGAGGTGGAGCAGGACGGGGCGCGGGGCACCGCTGGATTCAAGAACAGCTCAGCTCCAGCTTTACCCCTTCTCCGCGCAGTTGTTCGCGCTGGGCCCCATCCAAAGAAGATTGAAGTTAGCAGCAGTGGGAGAACCAGGACCGGGTCCTTGGGTTTGGTGCTGTACAGGCCGGAGAGGGGCTGCGCCTGGGTGAGGCGATAACCGAATGGGGGAGGACAAAGGCAGCTTCTGCGGTGTGAGGCTCGCAGCTTCAGGACACAGCTGAGCATTTCAGATCTTGGGGGGGGGAGGTTAAATATTCAAACTAGCAGCTTTAAAAATAAGAAGGTGCCTATTTATATTCCCCTCGCAGCTGTGGTTAGAGCAGCCCTCGCCTGGGAATGGCATACGTTAGGGGTTTTTTTGTCTTATTTAAACCCCAGCTTATCTTTGCAGAACAACTTCAGCCTCCAACCTGCTTTCACTTCAAAGGCTTCTCCCGGCTGCTTCTGGGAGGCTGCGGCTGAACCTGACGGTGTCGGCACGGGCTGGGCCAGACGGGGAAGGGTTTGATGTTCAAAGCCCCCCTCCCAGCCTGCTCAGACCCCGCCGTGTCGAAACCGCACGCGTGCCCTAGCAACTGCATTTCCCAGTCGGGGCCGGCCACAGACCCCCGTCTTTGAAAGCAGCGCCTGCTCAGTTGACGGCTCCTTTGTTGCTTTCTGTTAAAGGAGGCTGCGATGCAGGGTAAAGCCGCTGTTTAATTTCCAACAACTTCGTCCTTTTTTTATCAAAGAGA